ATTTTATCACTTTTCTTTATTTACTTATTTTTCTATTTAGTTTTATTAGATAATTATCAGAGTAATTTTTATTTTATCTTTATTTTTTGTATCATCTTTGGTTCCTTTATTTCTTTATGCAATTTGTATTCATTATTTCTTAAACATTATTAGATTCATATTTTTATTAAAATTGTTTGTCCTCGCGTCTTAGCTCTCAGGCCGGGTATGGTATTTGGGTTATTAACTTATTGCTCTTTATTATTGTTCCTCGTTAATTTATTTGTCTTGTTAAAATTTTCTTATATCTTTGTAATTTTGTTTTAATTCTTTGTGTTATTAACTGCATGGTAATTGTTATCTTATTGGTTCTTTTAACTTTATTGTCGTTTATAACTTAATAGTCGTCTTTAACTTTGTGTTGTTAATCTGCTTGATAATTTTTAACTTAGTCGGGTTTTTTTTCATTATTTGTCGATTGTAACTTCTTAATTGTATATTATCGCTGTTTTATTTAATTCCAATCATCTTTAATTGCTGTTATTTTAATAAATCTATTGTTTTAAAAAAGTTAAAATGGTTAAGTGAGATTTTTTTTAACAGGTGTTATGAGTAAAAAAAAAATCCCTTCTTGGTGTTTCATATTTTAGTCAGTTTTTATTTTTTAATGTAATTAGAATTTTGTAACTTATGTCGATTTATCTTCTGTCAGTACCAGAACCTTTTTTTTTACCCCTTGAGTACGATGCTAACGCGAGTACAATTAGTTAGCCCAGTAAGTAGTATGTTCTTATCCCCTTGAGTACGATGTCTACGTGAATATATTTAATGAATATGATGACTTAACCCTTTGAGGACGATGAATATGATGACTTAACCCTTTGAGGACGATGGATATGATGACTTAACCCTTTGAGGACGATGAATATGATGACTTAACCCTTTGAGGACGATGAATATGATGATGATGACAACCCTTTGAGGACGATGGATATGATGACTTAACCCTTTGAGGACGATGAATATGATGACTTAACCCTTTGAGGACGATGAATATGATGACTTAACCCTTTGAGGACGATGAATATGATGACTTAACCCTTTGAGGACGATGACAGTACTCAGTGCTTAGGAGGATGCTATTATTGTAATTATCAAGGAATTAAAATCAATATTTCTGTTTTCTTTCTCTCACAAATAAAGAAATTGTGATATCCACCTTAACTCTTTTTTGTCTCTTGTGTTTGTAAAGTCGTTTTTTTTACTTCATTGTTTAGTTGTTTTATTTGTTTTGATCTGCTTATAATATTTTTTACTCTTGGGATTTCATTTTCGTGTTAGTTTTTGTTGTTATTTTAAATCACAAAATTCTGACCTCGTGTGTGTGTGTGTGTGTGTGTGTGTGTGTGTGTGTGTGTGTGTGTGGTCTCTACATATTGGTTGTATTTTGATCTTGTTTGATGATCTCTGGGTTAGTCTCTCCTCTCCCTCCCTGGCTCCCGTAGTTGTCTACACCTCAAACCTGTAAGTTTTCTACACCTCTAACCTGTAAGTTGTTTACACCTCTAACCTGTAAGTTTTCTACACCTCTAACCTGTAAGTTTTCTACACCTCTAACCTGTAAGTTGTTTACACCTCTAACCTGTAAGTTGTCTATACCTCTAACCTGTAAGTTGTCTATACCTCTAACCTGAAAAGTTTTCTACACCTCTAACCTGTAAGTTTTCTACACCTCTAGCCTGTAAGTTGTCTACACCTCTAACTTGTACATTGTCTACACCTCTAACCTGTATGTTTTCTACACTTCTAGCATGTTTACACCTCTAACCTGTATGTTTTCTACACCTCTAACCTGTAAGTTGTCTACACCTCTAACTTGTACATTGTCTACACCTCTAACCTGTAAGTCGTCTACACCTCTAACCCATAAGTTGTCTTCACCTCTAACCTGTAAGTCGTCTACACCTCTAACTTGTACATTGTCTACACCTCTAATCTGTAAGTTGTCTACACCTCTAACTTGTACATTGTCTACACCTCTAACCTGTAAGTCGTCTATACCTCTAACTTGTACATTGTCTACACCTCTAATCTGTAAGTTGTCTACACTTCTAACTTGTACATTGTCTACACCTCTAACCCATAAGTTGTCTACACCTCTAACTTGTACATTGTCTACACCTCTAATCCTGTAAGTTGTCTACACCTCTAACCCATAAGTTGTCTACACCTCTAACCCATAAGTTGTCTACACCTCTAACCCATAAGTTGTCTACACCTCTAACCCATAAGTTGTCTACACCTCTAACTTGTACATTGTCTACATCTCTAATCTGTAAGTTGTCTACACCTCTAACCCATAAGTTGTCTACACCTCTAACCTGTAAGTCGTCTACACCTCTAACTTGTACATTGTCTACACCTCTAACCTGTAAGTTGTCTACACCTCTAACTTGTACATTGTCTACACCTCTAACCTGTAAGTCGTCTACACCTCTAACTTGTACATTGTCTACACCTCTAGCCTGTAAGTTGTCTACACCTCTAACCTGTAAGTCGTCTACACCTCTAACCCATAAGTTGTCTACACCTCTAACCTGTAAGTCGTCTACACCTCTAACTTGTACATTGTCTACACCTCTAATCGTCTATACCTCTAACTTGTACATTGTCTGTCTACACCTCTAACTTGTACATTGTCTACACCTCTAACCTGTAAGTCGTCTATACCTCTAACTTGTACATTGTCTACACCTCTAACCTGTAAGTCGTCTACACCTCTAACTTGTACATTGTCTACACCTCTAACCCATAAGTTGTCTACACCTCTAACCTGTAAGTCGTCTATACCTCTAACTTGTACATTGTCTACACCTCTAACCTGTAAGTCGTCTACATCTCTAACAGGAGATTTACTTACACTTATACCTGTATTATGTGTTTACCTCTAAGTTCTCACCATTTACACCTACAAAAAGTTTACTACCTGTAACTTTTCTTAATCAACTTTGTAATCCACCACAAAACTTTAAAAAGACGAAACTATATATGACTAAACTTTCTTTTCAGCTCTAAAACTTTTTTTTTTACTTTGCCTGATTCATCAACATAGAAACCGTTGCTTCACATGTCCATTCTTAATGCTGAAACTAACCTCGGGGTTCTACTTATGATGCTGGAACTTGCTTCAAGGTTCTGCTTATGATGCTGGAACTTGCTTCAAGGTTCTGCTTATGGGGCTGGAACTTGCTTCAAGGTTCTGCTTATGATGCTGGAACTTGCTTCAAGGTTCTGCTTATGATGCTGGAACTTGCTTCAAGGTTCTGCTTATGATGCTGGAACTTGCTTCGAAGTTCTGCTCATTATGCTGGAACTTTTGCCTCAAAGTTCTGCTCATGGTTCTAGAACTTGCCCTGTAAGTTCTGTTCATAAGACTAGAACTTGCTTCAAAGTTCTGCTTAGTATGCTGGAACTTTTGTTTCAAAGTTCTATTCATAACACTGGAACTTTTGCCTCAGTGTTCTTCGCTATGATGAAGTAACTTGACTCAAAAGTTCGACTGATGATGCCGGAACATCAGAGTTCTTCTTCTTCTTCTTTTCTTCTTTTCTTTTTCTTTCCTTTTTCTTTTTTTTCTTTCTTCTTTCTTTTTCTTCTTTTTTCTTCTTTTTTCTTCTTTTTCTTTTTCTTTTACTTTTTATTTATTTATTTTCTTTCTTCTTTTTCTTCTCACGATGGTAAGTTTGTCTTCACAATGGTGCAACTTTCTCTCACTCGCTCACTTCTACAGAGAGAGAAAGAACTTTTGTCTCCCTCTTCTGGGTTCAGTAGAGTAGACTGGCAGCTTCTACAGTGAGTTCAGTAGACTGGCAGCCTCTACAGCGAGTTCAGTAGACTGGCAGCCTCTACAGCGAGTTCAGTAGAGCAGACCGATAGCCTGTACAGAATTCACTCTGTTGTACGAGTACTGCTTCTCCATCTCCTGAACTGAGACTAGTTTTAACACTTAAGATCTTAGATTAATCTCAGAACTGAGACATTCCTCCTCCTCCTCCTCCTCCTCCTCTTTCTCCTCAGATATGGTATTAATCTCACTACTGAGAATAAGGTCTCGTGTCCTCAAATCTGAACCTAATCTCACATTGTGCTCTCCCATCCTCAGATCTGAACCTAATTTCACACCTCTTCCTTCACAACTTACTCCAATCTCACAGAGCAACGCTCACAACTGAGACAAGCTCCACCTCTTCCATCCTTAGAACTGAGACTAATCTCACAACTGAGATTAATCTTGTAGCTCAGAACCACACACCTGATACTAATTTCAAAGCTCTATCCTCACAACTGAGACGAGCTCTTTTCTCCCACCCTTATAGCTAAGATTAATTAAGCTCACGGCTCCACCCTCACAACTGAGATCAGAGTCACACTTCAAAAACATTAAAAAAAATCAAGTATGAGACATGATTCAGTTCTTCACCCTCAACCCCTCCCTCCCAGTTTGACCTTGAGGGTCAAGCTAGGTCACCTTTAAGACTAAAGGGTCATATTGTTAAAAAAATGATAATCCGATAATCCTAAAGGGTATTGACCTCTTGCTGACGATTGAATCTTTGTACATTTCAAGATTGGCAAAACATCTCACCGTGTTTACCTGTACCTATAATATATAAAAAAAATCTTCGTATTCAATTTGAAAATCTTTCAAGCAGGTAAATACTAACCTGTGTAAATCTAATCCAGCATATTTGAGAAACTGGTGGATCACTATCATGACCAGCCGCCAGGTGGGTCAGAGATGAATCTGTCTTGTACAAAGATTTTATTAGAAATTAATGCTACAATTATTATTATTACATTTTTAACCAAAAGAGATAAATAAAGGAAGATTTGTATTTATTTTTTATTTTTTACTTTTAACAATAAGAACCCTGAAGGTCTTTTTTTCCAAAATTGCAAATTCTTCTTTTTTTTTTTTACTGACATGCCGGAAGCTGATCTGACATTTCTCAATGTTTCAGGGCTGGAGGAGGAACCCGGTAAAGTTTTCTGTTTCGCATGCCCCAACAACGCATAATTTTTTAGGTGTTCTTAGTGCATACGTGTTTTTCTGGCATATGATGGCATATTTTGGCACTTTTTTTGCATGGCTTTCCCAATGTTAGCTGAGAGAGAACGTCCATCGGATTCACATAACCAGAACCCGACCGTTTCAACATGGGAGGCTCCCCCCTTTTTTTTTTTCAATGTATTGATCTTTTTTTTTCGTGAAAGATTAATAA